AGTGACCTGCTTTGGCGGGCGGGGGGGGGGAAGTAAACAAACAATTTATTGCTACCTTCACAAAATGCAAACAAAAGGCACGCACCTTGCCCTGGGGACTGGCCCCGGCAATATCTAGTTCAACAGAACTCTACTCAGTGGCTTCTCTGCTTGTCTCCTTGACATCCTGGAAATTCTAGAGGGACAAATCATGCCTGAGTTGCTGCTATCTATGCCTTGTAGAATCTTAAATAGAATGAAACAGGGCCCCAACAATCAATATTACTGACAAATTAATCTCTGTGAATAAACTGCTGTTCACTTCCAGGGTGTCCCAGTCCCTAGAATAGTTGTGTATATGGAGTTGAGAGGCCTTTTCACCACTTTGTTGGTCTTTTCTGTGGTCATCTACTTGTGGGTGGCACCTGGTTGCCTGTAGGGACTCAGTTTTGGAAAATCAAATGTTGCAGTGGCCCCGGCCTTGCCTTGTTAATTTCCTCCCTGCTTGGGCTTCATCCCCATGCTAGAACAAGTGCAGGATTTATGTGAAGAAGATGGCCTTCCTCATCCTGAGGGAGGGAGAAGGCAAGAGAGGAGCAGGTGGTGATGGAGACCCATTTCTGCCCAAACTCAGTTTACCAGAAATAGTTTGGAAGCTGAGATACTCAGTGTTAGTTAAGGTTTTTCTTAAGGAGTAGGAAAGGGACACAATACTTCTACAACGTTTTCAAGATTTGTAAATTTGCATGGAAGCGGTCTCAGAAAGGACGCTCCTGTTCAGAACTAAAATCTACCCAGCCTGCATCACTGTCAAATATTGGGCTGCTTTCATGCCAGTTAGCAAACCACCCCTACCCCATCACCAAGCCTTCTGCTGCCCACTGCTCCAGCCCTTTCCCGGTTCTTCCTCCCCATTGCTTGACTCAGCGCCTAAAAGGTTAACATGCGAAGCCGCCCAGTGACCTCCCCCACACTTGCTTAGGTTTGGGGTTCTGTTCCATTGGCCTGGGATCTGAGACACTCAAGAACCTCTGAGCAAATGGCCCAGACTTTTCCCCAAGTCCCAAACAGTAAACACCAGCAAGAATCAACAGTCACCAGGGTATAATTGTCATTAGTATGTAAATTTTAAAAGCTCAGTCAAAAATATCAATACCTCCCACTTAATTTATTACTATATAAAGATGAATGGTAGTGAAGCATTGCATTGATTTTTCAGAGCCCTTAAAAAAATGGTGAGGAAGAAAATAGTCAAAGACAACACAAAATGCTGTGTCTCAAAATTAATCGCTGTACTGTTTTTAAATACACATGCACTTACAAAAGCACTGTACAGCAGCCCATACGGTTCAATCTTATTTGATTGCCTTTTCTGAAAATGAAGAAATGGAAGAGGCCATTTATGTAAAGAGCCCTCTCAGAATGGATTAGATGTAAAGACGAGTTAGCATTTTTACTGTATCGACAGCAAACCATTAGGCAGCCACACTCCAGCCTGGCCACTGAGAGGAAATCGAAGAGCACAGTTCCCCAGCAGGCCTGGACAGAACAACTTATCAGTCTCTGGTCCTTGGGAAACCTGGCTGTCACTGATGATCAAACTCCAGGCCCAGTTCCTCTTTCTATTTGGTATAATGACATCATGCTATTACCCGCGTATTTACTAAAATGTTAGTAGGAATAGTCATGACCACTAAACAAATAAGTACATTTATCATCAGGTTTAAACCTGGTTCTGGAAAGCCTGTGACATGGGAATTGTGTTTGTGTCTAAGGTGATATGGAAATCAGTGCGTAATCATCCCTATGCTGCTAACGGATGGGTCACTTCCTTGCATTTGACATTTTAAGATTTTTGCATTTAGACAGAGGGAGAAGGGGGCTTGCAGAAAAAAGATTGCAAGGGAGCAAAATGGAAAAGAAAACAATAAAGATGCAGAGATGTATTCATTTTGCGTCTATACTATCATGCTGCTCACTCCACTTGCTTTCTGTTCTGCAAGCATCTGGGCCCTGTATCTTTTGAACAGTCTCCTGGTTAAAGCAGATAAACCTTGAGGTAGCCCAGATAGAGGCTACATCTGTCAGCATCTCCTATAGAGCTAGGATTTCCAAAAGAATAGGAATGCTCATGTGTTATAATATTAAAATAAGGATATTATTTGTCTCCTATTTCCAGAATTCCAGGGGTTTACCTCCTACCCTCCTCAACAAACCCCGTGAAGGGTGGATAATTGCTCCGGGCTTTATTACAGCATCTAGAGAGACTTATTTTTTAATAGAGATGTTCCACCAAGAATCAGACTACATGCACCTAGCAGTGATTCACATTCAATGGACTAGAAATAAGCAGCTTGGCGAGGAGCATCTTGTCAAAGGAGCCCCAGTCTCCAATAAGGGCTGTTGATCAGAGTCCCTGTGACCGGACTGATTCTAATTTATCAGAAGGCTTCTACTGTGTGGAGCAGGAGCTTTGTGCCCCTCCTGGCTCAGCTTGTGAAATAGAGCAGCGGTTCAAAAACAAACCTCAAGTTACTAGATGCCTTCCTGCTATAATTGGATTTAATTCATTATCTTTTATTTCAATAAAATCACAGGAAAACACAGGGATGTAAATGTGTAGACTAATTGCTTATGGAAATTCAGGTGCGACACTTGGTATAAATCCACCTCTTGCAAAAGCAAGACACAGTTGTGTCATTATCATAGAATTTTACAACAATATGTAATTACGGAGAGAAGCAGGTATAATTATCAAGCCTTTCCACAGAGCAGGTAGCATTCTTGGTTAAATATTTACAGCTACACAAACAGCTGGTAATAATGAGAGTTTTCTCAGCCACCCATTACAGAACACCCCACGAATATTATGAAAGGTGGTCATTATGAACCCGAGAAGCATTGCTTCGCCTTCTTGCCGGCAAGGGTTGCTTCTGTAGAGGTTCAGGCTGAATCGGCAGAGCAGTTTCAGCGGTGCTGAAAACAAGAAACGAAGATCTCCTTTTCCCTTGTTGCCGTAGAGAGGAGCAATTAAAGCTGCATATTTAGAGATGACATCAGCCAGGAGTCCTGCACAGAGAGAAAAATCCGTTGCATTTTACTCTCTTTTTTCTTTTTCCCGTTCCTTTTTCTGTCCAAAGGAAACCCGCGGCCAACTGCAAAGACAGCCGAAAGCTGCAGGCAAAGGAGGCAAACTCCAAACCGCCCAACGAGGGTCAGCCAGACGGGCAGCTGTTGCACAAAATAAAATCAACGCAGCCCACCCTGGGCAAACGCCCTGTGTGGCTCTTTTATTACCAAATGATATGAACTTTGACCCAACCTGAACAAAATTTAATATTTTCTCCCAAATATTTAAAAAATTCATTCTGGGGCGCTCAAGGAGTCAGAGAGTCTGCGAGCCGTAATTTGACATCTGAATTATTCTGAGGCTAATACGGCAAGCTATTCAGAAGCTTATTTGGAGATGTGTCAATCAAGATATCACTTGTGCAGGGAAGATGGACTCGGGCTTAGGAGTGCAGATAGCTTTCAGGGAACCTCAAAATAAAAGGCAGCAACCTCTGATGAATATGTTACGTCTTCATTCTCGACAATGACATTTTTCTTTTCTTGCTAGAGCGTACAGACCTAAGAGAGCTGTGTCCCAGGCATGTGCCTTTTTCCACACCTGTGAAAACACTTTAACATTTATTAAAAATGATAACCATAAACAGCAAACATGGTGTTGAAACTCGCCTCTGTTAATTTCAACGCGCTGATTAAGATTTTAAGCAATGCTTCTAAATTAGACTGTCAGGCTGCCATCCTCCAGGCAGGGTTGGGGTTCTGATCCAGGGCAGGCTTGTTTAAGCAAGTAGCCTTTCTGGGTTGATTGTGAACCAGGCTGGTGATACTCAGCGTTCTTTCATTCATTTCCAATGAGTTGGGGGTGATTCAATTAGCCCTGATTGTCCGAAAGATGTGGCCCGAAATAAACCTGCTGGGCTCTGTGCGCCTCCTCCTGAGGTATTTCCCAGCTGACAAGTAACAATGTTAATTACCCATTGTTATGATCTGAAGAGACACCGGCATTTTAATTATGTAAATTCAGAGCCATTTTGTTCCGATGAGCAAAGAATAAGCAGACAGCCCATTCCTTCCAGAGCGCATTCACCCCGATTGCCACCTCCACAAAGTCAGTGCCATCATCCATCCTTGAGTATCTTGGGGTAACTTCTTTCTCCAAGAGACAAAAGTAGGACATTGTCCTTGACATTCTGTTCCTCTTGGCATCATGCATGGGAGACTGTGACAGCTCTTTGCTTGGCCACGTCTGCTAAGACAGAGGGTGTCTAGCATGGGTGGCTTTGCACTGAGCAAACAAATGCCTCCCACCTGTGAGGGCCATGCTGTTGCCAAGCATTCCTGACACCCACCATCTTCAACAGAGCCCCCAGGTAGGTTGGGAACATTTTCTGCTATCAAAGTTCTCTTTAGAAACATCTTATAAACTGGAAAAATAAAATCAAAGTTCTCAAAGCTGTAGAGAATTCAGAAATGTGCCCATTACCCAGGAGAACCCTTTACTTCAGAACGATGGTCTCTATGGTTGTTCACCTTTACCTACTCAGCGTCCCCAGCATCGTTAGGAATTTGTCAAATGCCTGAGATGCTCCCGGGGCTCAAAAAGAGTGTCCGGGTGTTAGATCTGCTTTGAAGCCAAGCTCCTTCTTTCCCCAGGAGTTCTATAATGGTGTGACTCGGAGTCTTGGAAAACTGAGATTACAGAACTCAACTAGAAGACAAGATATAATTGTACTCTATCAAAATGGAAGTGGTATGTTCTGGTTAGAACTTAAATGTATTAAATGTTTAGGAGGAACCAGGAGACTGAAAGGAAAATATACTTTGGGAGTATCTTGCCAAATCCTCATCATACCCAGACCCCTGGAGGCTGGGTAAAGCATGGCTCAAGTTTATTCTCCAGTGCTGAATAATTGTAAGTTTGAAAAGGTCTGATATCTCATGGATCTCACAGGGTTTCCAATCAAGTATGCTTTTCTAACTTCTTAGTCAGGTAAGTGAGCGAGCTCAGGTCACCCATGGCTTGGGCTTTCCAATCAGGTCAGAGTTAGTGCACAGGACTTTACGGAGGTGAGAGAAAAAGCTAGGGTGGAGGAAGTATGGATGGGAAAGGGTAGAAAGAGAGTGTGTTTTTTCAAAAACAAGCCATACAATAACCGCCCAGTCTTTATTTGTAAGGTAAGAGACAGCCAGAGACTTTATTCCAAACCCGGTCCTGTTTCAGCAGGAGTTTTGCAGAGGTGAGAATAGGAAAAAAAAAAAAAAAAAAAAAAAAAAAAAAAAAAACTAAGAATAATTTATAGTCAAGCCTTGCCAGAATATGATAAATGAAAGAAAAATCAGTGCCATTAGTTGAGTACTTACTATGTGCCGAAGTTATCATCTCACTTGATCATGCCATAAACCCATTTTCCAGGTGAAGAAACTTAGGCTCCTCCAACCAAACATGGCTAGCAAGTATAGGGCCTCTGCTCTTCCCATTCGTGTATAATTCTACATCCCAGGTGCTTTAAATTTGGGGTGCCCTTAGGTTACGCTTGAAGAAGAACAATGAAAATGACAACCGTCTCATCTGGAAAGTACAGCAGTGTAACAGTTCCTGATCCGATCCCTCAACTTATTGCCTCCTGACTGGAGGTGCTGTGGCTCACTTGCTCTTGTCTGCCCCCAGGATCCTCTGCATTTCCTCCCACCTCACTGATCAGTCCTTTCTTTCATATCTACCTATTTGACCTTAAATGCCAGAACATCGTGGGGCTCACTACAAGACTCTATGGCATCTCTTGGACCTGGGTTCCTCACCCTCAGCACTGCTGATATTTCTGGCTGGATAAGTCTTTGTTGCTGTACCACACACCACGTTAGCAGCCAGGAGTAACCTTTCCCCTTTGTCCAGTTGTCTCCTGCTGGTTGCCAATTGCCCCTGGGGGGACACATTCCCCTTCCCAGAAGCAGCATCAAAATCCTGAGCATGCACTATTTCCTATGTTCTTTCAAACCACAACACTACCCGCCCGTACACACACGCATGCGCCTCCAGTCCACTGTCAGGTCCTACTGGTTCTAGCTTCTCCATCTTGCACACTTCCATTTCATCTCTCTACTGCATTTCCACGGCCGACACCCTATCTACACCCATGTCTCCTGATACAAGGACTGCAGGAGAAAACAGCTGGCCAGCTCAGTCCTGGCCCTCCTGCCCTCAGCAATAGGGGAGTCGTGATCTGGCCAAGGTCATTTCCTACTTATAACCCTCTAGTGGTTTCCCATTGCCTTTCCAGTAAATGTCCACAGTGGCTACCGTCCTGCCCCATCGGGCCCTGCTGTCCCTGAAGGCTCATCTCAAGCTGTTTCTCCCTGAGCCAAGGGCCACTCACCAAGTGTGGCTGCTGGCCCTTCACACAGTCACTGTGGCTGCCGGGAGTGCCCATCCCCTTAACTTCCCTGAGCCCATTCACCTGTGAGGACGCAAACCTAAATGAGGTCACTCATGCCCAGAGAGGGCTAAGGTCAGTGATGCAGAGACTCCAATCACCTTGGCCATGAGTCTGGCTCTCCCTACACCATTCAGCTTGCTGCGGAGGGGGGACACTGAACACCTGAAAGGTGCCAAGTGCACACGGAGATGTGCTGTATGAGCAAAACAGCAGATTTCAAAGACATCAAAGAGTAAAATGTATCATGTTTCAGATGTAATGACTAAGAAAATTATTAAAGTAAATTGGATTAAATAAAATGTTATTAAATCAAATATACTATTAAAATAAAATGCTAAATCTACTATTAAAACATAGTATATTAAAATATACTATATTATTAGTACACTTTTCTTCCTTAAATGTGGCTACTATAAAACATAAAATGACATAGGTAGCTCACATTGTTTCCTCTGGATAGGACCCGGCTAGACCCAGCACAGCACTCGTGTACAACAGGGGCCTGTTTATAAAATGCATTAACAGAATGAACAAAGGCACTCTCCACATAGATGATCTAAAATGCAAATCAGATCGTGTCGTTTGGCTACTTAGAATCCTCCAAGGGCTTCCTGAAGGAATCCAAGCTCCTGCCCAGAGCCTCACCTTCATGTCTTTGCACACACTGTTCCTCCTGCCTGGCTCTTCCCTTCCTGAGCCTCTTGCTCAGCTCTGACTTTCCTTTAAGTCCATCCTTGTGTCAACAGGCTCCACT